TATATAAATATATATATGTATCTGAATTGATTTGCTGACTGCTCAAAGCTGCGCTGACTTAATAAGTGTTATTTAATACTGAAGATCAGCTAATCGGCTTGATCTTTTTAATTGTTATACAAATTATATAGCCAAGTGTAAGTTGAGTTGAATCTGCATCAAGTTTAAAAAAAAAAACAAATCAAAATGGAATTCTTATTAGACGATTACGTAACGAGTGCAGCTTGATCGATTAAGAACTTGTGTAATTTCTTATTGGAATGATCTCGATCTGTTCGCTTACAAATTTATGAGATACATTTAGAGTGCATAACACTGTCAGGAATGGTAAGTAGATCAGGCATTCAATGAGTTCTTAGTATTACAATATATACTAGGGTTCATTATAGATATATGAAAGTAATACATAAGAATTTGTGTAGTTTTTATGAAATTATTTAGAAAAAATATCAATATTAGAATATCTCTATATAATGTTCGCTTATAAAATTCTTAACAAATAATAGAGAAAAAGATAAGTCTACAATATCTGACTTTTGATCAGATATTACTTTCTATAGGAAATACTTGCATACAAATAATGCAAACTAGTTTTTCATTAAATATTTTTATGACTTTTCTAGAACATCAGTGCATATAAATAGTTCTTAGAGGTTCCGGAATATTCTCTTCACAGAACTATATAATACACTAATAAAATCGCGTATCTATATATAGAGCTTTTTGAGATATCCTATAGCTATACTTGAGTACGTCATTTGTCATATGCCCCTTGATATAGCATTGACTTTGCATTTTAATAGTAAACCCATTAAGAGCCAAACAAGTCATGGCTATATGGGGCTGGCTCCGGCTCCGGCCCCGGCGCTGTCGCTGTCGCTGGCGATGGCGATGGCTTTGTCTGTGGCAGTCACCAATCGACTCTATTCCTTGGCAGATGCAAGCTGAGCGGCTCTACATATGTATAAATATATATGTACATTTGCTTATACATATGTATGTATATATAGATCTATAGAAAAGCAAAAGTTTATGTATATTCAGAATTCTGCTGTTTAACGCATAGTCGTATATTTGAATGCTGATGGCTGATATCTGATAGTTGATGGCTGATAATTGAAAACCCGTTCTCTGGCTGGCCATCTCTCTTAATCTGTTTGGCAGCAGAAGCGGCAGCAGAAGCGGCAGCAGAAGCAGTTCATGCACGTGTCTTTGCCACGCATCGATCGCTGAAATTCCTATGCGATTTGCAACAACGTTGACAAAGCCGCTTGGAGCGCTCTGGATATAAAAAACGGGTTGCCAACAACCAGTGGTCGTTGGCCAGAGTAAAAAAAAAAACAAAATGTGTTGTGTGTTAGCAGATCAACTTTTGTTCTTGTTACTGCCTTAATGAAGAGATTTATATGCATATAAATATATGTATATAAATAAGGGCGTGGCGAGCGCGCTTAGCGCACTGATTGAAGACTCACACTCAGCTTACACTGAGTACTTGTCAGAGTCTCACGAGTAACTCGGCTGACTTGAACGATAACTCAAGTGCTAAGGCGCCTAGCTACATATGTATATATATGCATATATAGCTGTCGGCATACTGTCGCGATACTGTCTTGTTCAGACATAATGCCTGCCATTGCGATTAACATAATTTACATCAGACTGGCAATGGAGCTCAGACAATATGGAATACCTAAGACCGGGTAACACTTCAGGGTCAATTGTATGACTCGTATAATCTCTGTTAAATAAATTACTCACTTAAGCGCTCAGCTTCAGTATGTTTTCATTTAATAATTTTTCTTATTTCTATGATCCTCTTCACTGTCATCGTCTATCTAATCAGATCTGCTGGCACTATTCCAATTAGCATTGTAATTGCCCCGCGTCTTGCCCGATTCACGTGGCAAACCGATTGGAGGGCTCTTTAAGCCGCTTATGATAGATCTTTTCAGCATTTTCACAATAGGCCCCGGCGAATATTCAAATTCCTGTGCCGAAATTTATTACAATATCATTTTTGATATGCAAATTTCATTCAAAATTGTGTTCATAATTCATATTATTTTTTCATTCCTCTCTCTCTCTCAATTCTCTATTTTCATTTGTACGTGTCGCACACGCTGCCTATTTATGCATAATTAATCGTGTCTTAATTAACTTAATGAGGGCATTTATATGTACTCGACGCAACTTATCAACTTATTTTAATATACTATACATATTCATATACATATACATACATAACATACATACATATATATATACTATTTTGCCAATCTATAATGTTTGTTTCATTGTATTGTTTTTTGTTTTTTTGCAGGCGCTTTTTTGTTGCTGGCCATTGGATTTTTGGCCATAACAGCAGCGGTGCTGGTTAAAGTATTTCAACCCTACGATTTGATATTCAAATGGGTAAGTCCAATAAACAGAAACTAAAGCTTCTTCTTTTTTTTTTTTTTTTTTTTTTTGTGTTGTTTAACTGCTTCAGCCTTAGCCTTTGCCAAATGGTCGTCAATCGACGATCATAATGCGCTAACGATTCTCTTGCCTTCGACACACAGACACGTACCACAGATATACGAATACATAGTTTCTCGAGTGCATTCCGTTTTTGGGACTTGCAATTGGGCGCCCGCCATTGAAAGCGCCATATTCATCTGTATTGATATATCTAAATATTTATATGTATATGTATTTCTAATTTGATCTTGCAGAAATTGGTAATGGCTGAAAATGGTGAAATCTTCAATCTTTGGGCCAAACCACCAGTCGATCTGTATATCAAAATATATTTATTCAACATCACCAATGCGGAGGCCTTCCTAGCGGGTCGCGAAAAGCTGCAGGTGGAGGAAGTGGGTCCCTATGTGTACAAGTGAGTTGGAAGACAAACCCATTTAACCTATTGGAAACTTATTTTTGTAAATTCTTTCTTTTTTAATTATAGAGAACTCATGACACATGAGAATATCACATTCAATGACAACAACACCATGTCGACAACGCCTAGCCATCCGCTGGTCTGGCAGGAGCACCTGTCCGAGGGTCGCCGGGAGGACGACGAGGTCGTCATGCTGAACATAGCTATGCTGGTGAGTAATATTACAATATAATATAAACTCATTAGGAAATAATAATTCTACAACAAAACACAAGAGTATTATGGAGAATACATTGCTTTAAGAATCTTCTCGAAACTAAAAAAAAAATATTATAATATTTTGTATACAAGACGTTTTTCAACTTACTTTTTAATAATTCCTTAGTTTAATAACTATAATTTGAAAAAAATAATAATGTATTTCTGTTAAAATTCATTTATATGCAATTTTTCTCTGTAATATTTCATAACTTTGTAATGGAAAATACTACGTAGGAACAAAATACCTACCTCTAATAATGTATTCAAAATGCTAATTGCAAATAACAAGCCAAAAGGAAATTCCTATTAATTATATTAGTTTCTGTTATATTCCATTTCTAAACTCTTTGCAATTACCATTTAATTTGTTCGACCGCATACAATGCCGGTCAACAGATTTGATCTGATGTAATCTGATGACAGATTATTGACTATCGACTGTATGCGATATAATCGACGGTAATTTGTCACGGAAAATAACTACATAATTAACCGTTAAGTCTGCTACAACAATAACATTAAAAATCGCGTGCCGCGCACATGACGAAAACAACAACAGAAAAAACAAAATGAAATTGAAAATGAAAAAAAAAACAGTCAGCTGTGAAATGCAAACAATAACAGCAAAAAAACATTAACAGAAGGCGCGTCTCACGTTTAGGTCAATAAACGTTACATTTTAGCACTAACAACAACAACAACAATAACAGCAGCCACAACAGCAACTACCACAACAATACGGTTACTTTACCGCGGCGTCAAAAATTGCCAACATGTTTAACTAAACGATCGGCAATTAATTTGCACACAATGAGCACTAGCTATGGTGTGGGAGCGTGTGCGAAAAGGATGGCAATGGTGCGTGTGAGCGAGCGGCAGCAGTAGCAGGCAACGACGCGTCATTGCGAGTAGCTACCGTTAACTATTACATATGCCACTGTCTCGCTCACGCACTCGCACACACACACACAGACGCTCACTCACACACGGAGTATGGAGTACTCGGCGCATATTTTGAAACTTTTGTTGTTGCTTTTATTACAATAATTATTATTGGCGCTGTCTGTGGGCGTGTTTGTTATTGTCAGCAATTTTCACTGATTAATGACGATATCGCATTTTATTATCGTAAACAAATCAAAACAGCATTTACGTACATTCAATCAGTGAATATGTACAGACATACATACATACATATAGACATGCATACACAATATAGAGATATTTATGCACATTTAATCTGTAATTAATTGTTGACTTTATGATGTTTCAATTAAAATTTAAAAATTAACATAGCTGCCGTTGCCGTTGCCGTTACAGTTGCACTCGCTTAATTTATGCCAAAACACTTTTGTGTCGCACACAAATGCCAATTTGAGTAGCTTCGATTCTGTGATGTCAATCAAGCGCCGATCAAGAAGAACAAGAAGAGGAAAGAGAAGAGGAAAACGAAAATTAATATGATTTGTTTCGCGTTTCATTTAGCATCCGGGTGCGCAATGTGGACCCGAAATGTTGAATAATGCATTTTATCTGTCAAGTGCACGTCGCAACGGCCGGTTGGCGGGGTGGAGGGCATCATATAGCACCTATATAAAATATTACCCACTGTACAGGAAGTACGTAATTATCGTGCATTAAGTGCTCTATTTACTACGACGATAACGAGCCGCTGAGCAGCTGTTAATATGGCACGCACAGCACCGATAGATCCTGACATGACGCGCAATTAGCACACCAGTCAGCATCGCGTGGGTTTTCCCTAAGATCCAAATGAAATCAAATGCGAATGCTATAATCGGAAGTGTGAGATTACGACTTGGCGAAAATTGAGAGAGGTGTCCAAAATAATCATACAAAAATGAAAGAATAATAAAGAGAAACTTATTGAGAATTTGGGCTCTCTAATCTAAATGATATTTAATCTTAAAAGAGAATATAAAGTAAGAGGAAACTTGAGAATCCTCCTCTGCTAGTGCTCCTCCTGCTTCTTCCTGTTACAGAAACTTATATACTATCCATATAATACTATCTGAAATCTAATTCACTATTTACTTTATCTTTATTTTCATTTCTATTGCAGGCCATTTCCCATTTAACTGCCGATCGTAACTACTTCTTTGTTCGCTTGCCAATGCAAGGACTTTTCGCCAGCACCAAATCGGAGCCAATTGTCCGCATGACGGCCCGGGAGTTCATGTTTGGCTTTCCCTCGACATTGGCGACGCTGGGCAATACGCTGTTGCCCAATTGGATATCGTTCGAGAAGGTGGGATTGATCGATCGCATGTACGATTTCTCAACGGACTTTGAGACGTTCCATACGGGCGTGCCGGATCCGGCCATATCGGGCCTATATGCCACATACCGGGGCGAGACGAAACTGCCCCAATGGGAGGGCGATCACTGCAGCAACATTGAGTACGCCTCCGACGGCACGAAATTCAAGAGTTTCATCCAGCCCAACGAGACGGTGAAGTTCTTCCGCAAGAGCATGTGCAGGCCCATCAATTTGGTAAGTCATCGAGGCATAGTCGCATAGACAGACAGATACCAACAGAATTTATTTCTTTGTCACAGTATCGAGATGGTGAGGAGCGCACTTTTGGCAGCCTGAAGGGCTACAACTACGTCTTCGAGGAGAATGCCTTTGATAACGGTGCCATCAATGAGGCTAACAAATGTTTCTGTCGCCATGGTGAGTCCCGACAAAGTCAAAGTCAATTTTAATTAACTTGCAATTAGTTCAGCCTTACATCATATTTACAACGGGCCACATTTCTAGTTAAGTGTCGGGGGACAATTAAAAATAAATCTTTCTGGAACTATTACTTCATTGCATTTGAATTTTTAATGCTGTTGTGTAATTCTACAACAAGTAAAGGCTAAGCCTCATTCTTTACGATCGACGTAGTCGATATGTATTTAATTGCCCAGTACAAAGCGCAAATAATTCTTGTTTTTTTTTTTTTTTTTAACGTACCGCGCTAACTAATTGATATCCCCTACAGAGTATGCCGTTTATCAGCTGGCATAGAGTATATATAAACAATTTTTTCAAGTTTACGTCTTATTAGCTCAAGTCTATGCCATTCCAATGGGGCAGACTCCAAAATATTCCATAATATTAAAGCTCTGACGCAAACGAACAATCGAGAACGCGCGAACGCGTTTCGCATGTTTCGAAACATTTATTTCGTMTTATTGTCGCTTTGTTTTGTTTTTGTTGCTGTTGTTGTTGTTTTAGTTTTGTACGTTATTGTTTGTAATGAAAGTATCTAGATAAAGTCATGCGTCAGAATTTTGAGACACGCAATTGCTAGCCTTATATGGGAAGGCAGCGTCCAATAACATGTTATTTGCTCTTCCGTTACTATATACTTTACGAAAAATAAGAAGAATACGACTTAAAACAGATAATCATTTTGCAATTGCTTCTTCTGCTTCCTTTGTTTTGCAGGCGATTGCCAGCCCGTTGGCTTGATTGACGTCACGGATTGCTACTATGGCTTCCCCATCTCTCTCAGCTTCCCACATTTCATGAATGGCGATGTTGGCCTGGTGGAGAACATTACGGGCATGCAACCTGATCCTGAAAAGCATTCAACAGCATTTGTGATACAACCTGTAAGTAACCTTGCCAAAAGCTAAAAAAAAATAAGTAAAACAAGTAAGAAAGCTCTAGTCGAGACTGCTCGACTACGAGATCCCCTGAACCCTTGGAGTGCTAGCTATTTCAATAATTTTTCGCGTCTTTCAGCTTACACAAGAAACGCACACACATACACAAACACATACACACACAAGCACCCACGCAAATCAACTCAGCTCGTCACCCTGATCAAGAATATATATACTTTGTGGGGTCTGCCACGCCTCCTTCTGCCTGTTACATACATTTCAACAAAACCATTATACCCTGATTTCCCATTTTCAATGGGTTCAGGGTATAAAAAAAAATAAATAAAAAAATAAATAGTAAAAAAAACTAAAACGTTGCCTTGTTGCTGTAGTGACAACTTTCAATTCGAGCGATTAACAAAATTTATGAGAATCTATAGGCAATACTTAATTAAACATTCACCGCATTAACTGTAACAATTAGCTCGTTTAAAATAATATTCGACTTAATCATGCTAAACTCGTTCTTGTTGTTGTTGTYTTTGTTGTTATTGCCGCCGCTGTCGACAATTGCTGTCAGTAGTAGTTTTTATTATTTTATGCTTAATTTGTTTGCTTACCTTCCGATCGAGTGTAATCGCGTGAAAATTAATTGTTTATTATTGAAATTTATATTAGCTGCCGTTTTCAATATTTACATTTCCGGCTAATTAAGCTAACCGTAAATGCAGCTAGTCACGACTAACTCTTAAAGTTGTATTCAATTTATGTATAACAGGAAAGGAAATACTATTTGAAGTTCGCGCCAGTTAAGCTAACGGCATTTGAGTGACAAGATATTCATTGTAACCTTCAATTCAATTGCAAACGCATATTCATTTTACACAATTCACAATAGTCTATGCGATAGATAGACTATCGTTTCGAGTTCGAAAATTCTTGAAGAACGTCTACAGCACTTCACGGCTTCGCAAATTTAACAACACTGCTGTGATCAGTGGCTTAACATTTAATTAAAGCGCAGCGTGTAGAAATATTAAATATTTAGGTGCATAAATAATAATTGTCGAATCAATCACAATGTCAATGGAAGCAACACAGTCTCAAGCAATATATTTCAAGGAAAGAGCGCAGCAAAAATGCGAATTAAAGCAACCAGGCCTATATTTAAGTAATTAACTGAAATTAGGCCAAGTGTGGCCAAAATGGGGTCGTACTTGGCACTAAATAACTGAATAAATGGAGAACACTTTACTACCCGGTTAGTTCACACATTAATTGCATATCTGTGCGCACTTTCAGGAATCCGGTCTGCCGCTCTCGCTGTCCGTAAAAGTACAAATCAACATGCACTTCAAGGACCTGCAAAACTATCCGCAAGTCTCACAGTTTAGTCATCTGACTGCCCCAATGCTGTGGTTCGAGATCGTAAGTGAACAACACTCATAGCATTGCCATAATGGGATCTAATATAAATTGAGTTCCTCTGCTTTTAGATGATGCCTAAGCTGCCGGACGAGCTTGATACGCGTTTCAATTTCTATTTGAATCTGTTGCCGCTGGTAAATCCGTTGGGCTTCTGGGGTGCCCTGGTGCTGGGCGTAGGCCTGCTGGTGTATGCCATAACACGCGCCACCCTGCACATGTCCAGCTTCACGCGCCAGGCAACAAACATTTCGGATGGCAAATATGCTAGAGCGAATCTGCTGCAGAATCTGACGGGAAGTGGAGGCATCATTGGCAACGGCAATCAGGTGTACAATCCGTGCGAACTGAAGCTGTTGGACGATGTGCCCACGGCAAAGAAACATGTTATAATACGTGGCAACAGCGACGACGAGGCCTATCAGGAGCGCCGACAGTCTGCATACGCTCTAGAGCTGGAGCCGGCGCTCTCCGATGCGGAGAGCAGCGACGAGGGCAACGAGAGTGACACTGTGACGCTGAGCCGCAACTCAACCACATCCAGTTCGTGCATTGAAGTGGAGCATGATGATGATATTTGCATAGATTGCTTCGACGACAACGGATTGGAGGTGACTGTGGATGCAGCCAGTACGAGCAGCAGCAGCAGCAGCAAACCAGGCGCGAAGCATCAGGTAAGCAAAGCAACCATAAACAGTTATGTCATCTGCCATATAGAGAGGGGCGAGCTTGATCTAAGTGTAAGGAAATCGCCGCCAAGCTGTCTAACGTGTCTGCCTCAATATTCATTGGATTGCGGCTGTTTCTCTTTTTCTCTCTTTCTTTTTATGGTCAAAATTTACGGGCGCGTTAAATGAAATTGATTAGGTTTAAAATTAGCCATCGGCAGTCGGCAACAGGTGACAAACTCGTTTTCGGGGTAAATACCAAGAGAAAAAAAAAATGGTCACGCGTGTTGATTCCAGGGGATTTGCATACGCTTGATATGTTAATTAAATCAATATATGCTTTCTTTTTATTTACAGCTGGGCGTTAGTTTGGCCAGCAGCGGCTATGCTTCTTCGCCCGCCTCGAGCAGCTCCAGCGCGAATGAGCTGAGCGGGTCCAACAGCAAAACGGGCTGGATGCCCTATGCACATCCCGAGAAGTTTGACGGGACGACAGGAATGACGAAGCATGTATAGAAATAAGCCACCAGTTTAGTATTTAGTTTAGGTTGTCGGTATATCCATATAGATGATGTAGTAGCTAGTTTGCTAGTTTGGTTGGGCATTGGCATCGCCGCTTTTGGTTTTATATAGCATTTTTTTTTGTTAGTGTAAATAATATGAAAACCAAATGTTTGGTTTTTTCTTTTTTCAATACTGTGATAGCTTTAAACAACAAAAGAACGATGTATGTATATCCAAACAAAACAGCACACGAAGTGCTGAATGCGGCTTTTTACAAAAAAAAAAAACAAATGGAACAAAAACAAAAACAAACAAAAAATAACTAAAATTTGTATGGAATTATTTATATATCGAGTTTAAGCAGTTTGTAAGGTAAATTACGGTTTAATTTTAGTTAACAAGTCACCTCCATGAGGTGCCACAAATGATTTGAATTTAAATTTGAATTAAAGCAAATTGTTAATGAAGAAATCTGAATAAGAGAAATTTGCACAACAATTGTAGTTCAAGTTCATACATTATCTATGCTAAGAATTGCTGTGATTTTTGTATTTGAAGCAGAATTTATGGGCAAACGCATTACAATGCGAGGCGTTTGCACAATAAATTAATTATCTTAGCCTTAGACCATGTAACTGTATCATTTAAACTGCAATAAATGCAACAATTAAAATATAAATAATGAAATCTTTTATTTAAATTGTTAGAAATTACTTTTCAAAAAGTACGCCATTAAAGTATGCTTAACAAATTAAGTTAGAGTTTAAATTGTGATTTAAATTTGATGAACGTTTTCAAATTTGGCGCGTGCGCACCTAATGTTAACTTTACAGAGTTACTCCACCAGTTAACAGTACTAATATTCACGTTAACAGAATGTACTCAAGTACTCGTCTCTCATGAGGTGTGGAAAACGTAAGCATCGCTCTCGTCTCTCGCGAGCGGACTTTTAGTCCGCACGATACTATCGGTGGTGTACCCCCACTATTGCGAAAATTTTATCTTATATGGTTAAACAGTTTGACTACTTTATAGAGTACATTGTTTCATTTTAGTTTCCAAAATTATGTCACAACATATCTCGGCCTAATAACATCCAAAAAGAATATAGTCCCTCAAAAAGGTAGCCGCGAAAAGCAGAACAGAAGACCCAGGGTAAGAAAAGACGTCCACAGACTTTGGACTCGACAGCATAACAACAAAGATCAACAATTGGTTGAGAAGAGGCATTGCACAAACCGCTCTCACTTTCGATGCCGAAGCCGATGCCGATGCTGACGTCGACGTTGGCAGCGATAACAAAACAAACCAGCTACAGGTTTACGAATGACGGCAGCGACTGCGACAGCACAGTTATAATTTTGGTTAAAAGGAAACCGGTTGTGTTTTCTGAGATATCAATTTTACTAACTGCACTTTTGCCTACGTGGACTAATTGATATTGGGCTTTTGCTTTGATATCATTAATTTGCCAAGTGCTGTGTCGCTCGTTGCCTGCTTTGTCGCTAGCGTTAATCTTAACGCCCAGCTTATCGCAATTTCTTTACGATTATGCACAGTAACCAAAGGTGAACAATTCACACACACACACATACAAACAGAGGCAATTACTATAACCTTTGGATTAAAATAATATTGTGGTATATTTTAAATTGCAGTTCGCAAGTTGAGACTGAGGTTGAAAACTACAAATCTAAAATGAAGATATTAAAGAATGGACGAGTTTTCTGGAATTTGGTAAGCAACATTAGGATATTACAAGCGAATCTATATTAATATATTTATATATATATACATAATATCCCCAACAGACCAAAGGATCCATTAACACCAAGGAAGCATCGGATGTTCTTGTGAAACTGATGCCTGTCAGCTATGGCAGCAAAAGTACCGAGAAACCGGAGAAATCGGAGAAACCTGGAGAAAGCGAAGAGAAGAAGAAGCCACCGCAGCAAACCCTTTTAAAGTATCCTGTTCTGCCACTGAATGAGACCTTGGATCGTTTTATGCTCACTGTTCAGCCTCTGCTCACGCCCGAAGAGTTTAAAAAACAGCAGGAAATTACAAACAATTTTAGAGACAATGAAGGCGATAAACTCCAAGAACTGCTCGAGCAGGCTGGAAAGGACAGCTGTAACTGGCTGTCAGAACGCTGGAAAAAAGTGGCCTATCTACAGTATCGTGATCCAGTCACGGTTTACATTAGTCCCGGCATGACATTTCCCATGGAAAACTTTAAAGATAGAAACGATTTTATTAACTATACGGCCAAAGTCATATTTGGCCTGTGCGAATTTAAAGGCATTGTCGATGCTGGTAAGATACCAATTGTCAAAATGGGCAAAAATGAGCTGGACAATAGTCAGTTCGGCAAGGTCTTTGGCACCTGTCGTATACCAGTACGCATCCAGGACGAGATCGCATTTAATTCGTGCACCAAACATACTGTTATCATCTATAAAAATCATGTGGGTTCAGTTTATTAAATCTCTGATGACCTTTAATTAATTTCTGTCAATTCCAACAGTTTTACAAATTGACTTTGTACGACAAGGACGATAAGGTATTGTCTGCTCCAACAATAGCCAAACAGTTGACCAAAATTATGGATTCGGAAACGGAGCGTGGTATACCTTTTGGCATTTTCACCACAGACTCGCGCGACAACTGGGCAGAGGCCTATGAGACATTGAGTAAGGATCCCCAAAATTGCGCGACCATGAAGACCATACAGTCGGCACTCTTTACCGTTTCACTGGATGAGTGTGTGAAGTACGAGCCCTCTGAACGAATGGATGAACTAATTCTGTCACTGATCCATGGCGGAGGTAGCAAAGTGAACAGCGGCAATCGTTGGATGGACAAAACCATACAGCTGGTAGTCAATCCAAATGGAAACGTTGGCTTCACCTACGAGCATTCGCCAGCCGAGGGCCAGCCCATCGCTATGATGATGGATTACGTGGTGAAGAAAATGTACATTTGAATTCTTAAAGGGTTGCACCAAAACGTTTCTAAATTGCACTTATTTTGCATTTTCTAGGGGCGACGACAAGAGCTTTGGTGACAACGGTTCCACTAATGTGCCCGAAGAGCCTCAGAAGCTGAAGTTCGCTGAGACAACTCCATGCATTGATCAACTGTTGTTCTTTTCATCTACGAATATCGATAAGCTTGTCAAAAATCTGCAAGTGAAAGTTCTGAAATTTCAGGGCTATGGCAAGGGCTACATTAAAAGTGTGAAGTTGGGACCCGATAGCTTCGTGCAGATGGCATTGCAATTGGCTTTCTACAAGTATTCACGATTCACATGAAAATTCCACACAAATGGAATCTAATGGAAATATATTTTACAGATTGCACAAGGTGCCGGCCGCTCAATACGAATCGGCACATTTGCGTATCTTTGCCAATGGACGCACTGAAACCATACGCTCCTGCTCGAATGAATCACTCGCCTTTTGCAAGGCGATGACCTCAGGAAAAGCCTCCATCGAGGAACGTGCTCAGGCGTTGCGTGCGGCTGTCGGTGGCCATCAGGCGTATACGAGATTGGCGCTGCAGGGACGCGGTGTAGATCGTCATCTTCTCGGTCTAAAGTTGATGGCCCTGGAAAATAATTTGCCAGTACCCGCGTTCTTCTCATCATTGGGGTACACGAAATCAATGCACTTCCGTGTCTCCACTTCGCAAGTGGCCACCGTATACGAAGCATTCATGGGCTATGGCCCGGCCACCGAGGACGGCTATGCCTGTTGCTATAATCCTCGTGAATGTGATATCATCCTGGCCATCTCATGTTGGGCCTCTAACAGTGAAACGGACCCCAAAAAGTTTGCCGCAGCGATTACGAAGGCTTTCATGGAAATGAAGGATGTCCTTGACAACGAACCTAAGAAGTCTAAGTTGTAGTGCCATAACAAATTATGTCTTATAATGTTGATTAAATTCTAAGTATGACCCAAGACTGGCTGTCTGGTTCTTTTTCTTAATCCAACATCCAGATCAAAATATCATGTTGTCACTCAGTAAGTTTTACACATTCTAAACATATCACACTAGCGTTAGACATATGTCTAGCTTCTAAATTTATTATAATCTTTCGATTCTTCTCTAAATTTTATAATGCGTGCATTAATCACTACTGAACCTTTCTGGAGCACAGTGAGTATGCAATCATCAGATAATTGTCAGTCGGCCTAATTCCTTTTAGACTTGCAACCAGCAGTCGAGGTATTCACGTACGTCAACCAGATCCAAATCGACGAGCGAAAAGCCTTTGGTGGCAAAGCTCGTGGAGTATGTAATGTCATGGGGCAAACCAGAACAGACTCCACCAAAACAGATTGAACTCAAGAGCGACCAACAGGAGCAAGTGGAGGAAGAGAGATGTCCGAAAATCAAGCAAATATCAGCGAATTCAGTGAATCCAGTCCAGCAAACTTACCATAGTAGCAATCGGTCAGATGTATCCCAATCAATGTACTATTCGAATTCCGCTCCAGAAATGAGAGTAGGTTTCGCCCCCGAGGCCAGGGCACAGCCCATGCCCGCTCTTAGCAACACCCGGGAGCATCTGGGCAAGGTAATTCCAGTGGACGAGCATCAGATTAACCAACTACTTATGCATCGACGGGAAAGCCAAGTGCCAAAGGGCTTGCTCAAGTATCCGGTTCAGCCGCTGCAGGAGACGCTCACGCGTTACTTGGAGAGCTTGCAGCCGCTGGTCAGCGACCGAGTCATGGATAAAGAGGAGGATTTAGCCGTGGACTTCTTGCGAAATCAGGGCTATGAACTGCAGTCGCTGCTGCAACAAGCTGGCGAATCAAGTGCCAATTGGCTCACCGATCGCTGGACCGATGTCAGCTACCTACGCTATCGCGCACCCCTGACGATATTTTCCAGCTCCTGCATAGCGTTCCCCAAGCAGAACTTTCGCAATAGCCTGGCCTACTTGGACTTCACGGCCAAAGCGATTCACGCCATGTGTCAATTCCATTGGATTGTGGAGAACAATCAGCTGCCAGTACGCAAAATGGAAGGCTTCGATTTGGACAACAGTCAGTTCCACAATGTCTTTGGCACGGTTCGCATACCGCAGCGCTCTTGCGACTACTTGCAGCAGTGCAAGTCCAACTATATAGTGGTCATACACAGGAATAACGTGAGGCTGTCTAGAATATGTGTGCTAAATGATAGTTTGTAGTACTAATTCCTCTCTTCTCTTTTCTTTCTAGTTCTACAAGCTGCCTGTTTTCGATGCTGTAGATAAGCGTATCTTTAATGTTCTTCATATCCGCAAACAACTGATGAAAGTTATAAAGTCCGGCAGGCTTCTGGGTCCAGCGATTGGTCTGCTCACCCACGACAAGCGCGACCACTGGGCCGAAGGACACGAGATGCTGTGTCGCAAGGACGTGAATGCCGAGACAATTCAGTGCATCGAACAATCTCTCTTTACCGTCTCTCTGGATGATGCTATTCCCGTGCCTGCAGGCGAGGAGCGTTCGCTGCTGGCGGCTCAGCTGATGCATGGCGGTGGCCCCCATCTGAACAGTGCCAATCGCTGGATGGACAAGGCACTGCAGCTGATAGTCAATCCGTGCGGCTTGGCCGGTCTCTGCTGTGAGCACTCACCCGCCGAGCCCCAGCCGGCGGCGAGTATCATGGACTATATACTAAAGAATGTGTATGTAGATCACTGATTCTAAAACTAATTTGAATTCTCTGGTATGGCATACATAATGACTCGCTTCTGTTTTAGTCACCATCCGAACTATGGACATCATGCCAAAGAATCGCACAAAAATGAGCCACTAGAGTGGCTTTACTTTGATGAAGTGGATGAGTGTGTGACCTTCTGGTTGTCCACTGCCAATCGGACGGTGAATGAGCTCAGCAGTCGGCTGCAATTGCATGCCCAGCGATTCGATTGCTATGGCAAGAGCCTGTTGAATGCACAGCAGCTGGAGCCGGACAGTTTTGTGCAGATGGCGTTGCAGCTGGCGTTTTATAGACTGCACAGGGAGCTGCCCGCTCAGCTGGAGACGGCCCATTTGCGCATCTTTAAATTCGGACGCAGCGAAATTATACGTTCGACCAGCAATGAATCTTTCAAATTTGTGCGTGCCATGGTTTCGGAAGAAACCTCGATTCAAAATCGTTTGTTTGCCCTAAAAGCCGCTGTTGATTACCATCGACAGCAGGCGATGATGGCGCTAAAGGGACGCGGCATAGATCGGCATTTCTTTGGCTTGGAACAGATGGCGCATGAGCATGGCAAGGCGTTGCCCGAGTTCTTTAAATCGGAGGGCTATCTGAAATCGAAAGATTTCCGCATACTCAGCTCCCAGCTGTCGACGCCGCATGACTCGTTCATGGTTTACGGGCCGCTCAACTCGGATGGCTACGGCTGCTGCTACAATTTACGCGAAAATGACATTACGTTTACCATAACGGCCTGGAATCACAATCCGCAGATTTCGGCCCGAAGCTATGGCATGGCTATCGAATCCGCATTGGCCGACATGGGACATCTTATCTTGGATTCGGGCAATTGTACATCGGTTCTAGAATCTGACAGTGATCGCACGCAGCGTTGAGGGCTTGTCAGGATTTTTGTTTTTATTATTATCTGTATTTATCGAACAAAAACAAGTCAAAAAAGGAAACATTCAGTGGCTCAGGCATAAAATCTAAATATATATATAATTTTTTTTTTTTACATAATCTTGTGATTTCTCTAGTCCTTTTTGCAGTGATAGCAGCTACAGGAGACGGCGCTCTTAAAGGTCACATTCCGTATGCCCTCGATGCAAAGCACGCGACGTTGTATCTGCATTTATAAATTCATAAATTCGGATTGGTCAAGCTCTCTCTCTCTGTCTTGGGCACTCACCTCTTCGGATTTCATCATATTACAGCACTGACCCACGGATACGACGGGCTTGGGTTGTCGGAATACGCCCGGCAACGCAGATGGTATCGATGGCACCGCATACGATTCACAGAAGCCACGGCAGGCGTTTGTTGTAATTGTAAACTCGACACAGTCCGGTATGGAGATCTTACGCGTGTTGCCCACCTTATGGCAGCCGGGACGCAGCCAAGCATCCTTGCCAGTGGCCACGCTGCTCTCGGCAGCCAGGAAACAGGAGCAGAGCAGCCAAAGCAAAAAAGCTAATAGCGTTAGCGACTTCATCTCGGCCGTACCTCAATGCGAACTGTTGCCCGAGTCTCGGCTAACGGTCCATTTTATGCTGGTCAGCGAGGAATACGACGCTTGCGCAAAGGACGAGCGGTGAATTTCTTTGGCCATGTGGGCTGCACTTAATGAGGGGTAAAGCAAGGGAGGGTGGGACTACATGCCTAAAATATTCACGCATAGAAAGAATGTTTGCATATTCTGGTGCTTAATATATACCGTTAAAGAAATTTCTAAAAACAATCATATCCATTTTATGCTAAATATAAACAATTTGATTGCAGAATTTTTCAAATGAACTTAGGCATACAATAAGGATACCTTTTAAAAGGGAAAATACTTAATAAAACAAATAATTAAATATAATATAGAATAGTTTTTAGCAAAACTAACCATCTAAATCACCAGCCAATTCAATTTGCTTTTCAGCACACTTTAACCATGACGGTTCATAGTCGACCCCCAAATCCTTGGTTATACCATGCCACTGATATAATCCTGTGAACCTAGATGATGGTCCAGAAATTCATTGCTAAATGCATGAGAATATGGTCAAAGATATGAATGCCCTTTTTTCAGCTGCCCAAAAACAACATGCCCTTTCCTACCAGATGGTAACTAGTCGACCTAAATATCCTTGGTTTCACAATGCCATTGATATAGTCCTGGAGACCTGTAACTCAAAACTAATATTAAAATATGGAATGTGTTGGTTGTTTGCCTTTAAATTAGCTTCATAGCGTCCATATCAGCAAACTAAAATACCGTTGCATAATCCTAAGGGGCTGCTGCTTTTGTTTACCTACACTTTCCGTATGTCAAATGTGCTGAATTACCAGGCGAACAGAAATCACCAGAAGAGTGACAATTTAAAATGAACAGTGAGAAAATGTTAGTTAACATATCACTGTTAATTAACATATTACTGTTAATTAGCATACTGTTAGGATAACAGTGGATATACATAGCATGGACAGGGGGATAACAGAATCAGATCATGCTAATCGGCCGTTAATTAACAGCAAATTCAAATGATATGTTAAATAACAGTGATATGTTAACTAACATTTTTACACTGTTAATTTACATTTTTGCACTGTTAATTTAAATTTTTTCCCCTACTGCTGATTTCTGTTCGCCTGGTAGTTCAGTGAATTTGATATACTAAAATCGATACACTATGATTATTAACAGTGACCTTGCTGTTAACAAACATAACTATGTTATCTTAATGTACTGTTGGAAACATTCCGACCTACTGCTGCTACCATTAAAATTTCGATACCAACGGCCACATAGCTAATTATAGAAACCTTAATCTACTACTGTTGTGACCATTGCGCATATCGCAGGGAGTTTGACATTTAGGTTCACTAGGACTACATCAATGGAATGGTTTATCCAAGGATATTTAAGTCAACTAGGTTCCATATAATTAGAAGGTGTAAGCCATACTTGGGGCAACTCCTTACAAAACGTGTAAAACGTGGTCCATTTGATGTAGGTTTTACCTGACTTTATCAATGGTATGGAAGAGCCAAGGATATGTGGGTCAACTGAAAACCTTAATTTGTTTATCAGAGTCTTGATCTGATTATAAAATAACCGTTTTGTCAGCATTTCGCAGAATGAAAATATATTTTATTTGGGAAAGGATGTTTAATATTAAATACACATGAAACTGATTCTCTTAGGCTTTGCGCCATATGTCTATAAAGCTTGTATTTAGTTTAGAAAACCAAGGCAATCTGAACATTTTCAAAATTAGCCTATGCCTTTGCCAGGCTTGTGGTACTCTGCTTCGTAGCCAAAAAGTGTAAAAAACAGAAAGCGTGGGTAAGTGAATTAATTTTAGTCTAATTGGCGATACCAGAGGATTTGGGACAGAGAAATAAATCTGCTTAGGGTGCGTTCAGTTTTTAGTTCTCACTTAGTAGTCCCATTTCGTGCGTTACGAGAACTGTCTCGTTGTTGTTGATTAATTATTGAACATTATTTCTGTTCCTATTGTTAAATACGGAGAGATCTCTCCCTAAAAACAGCCCACAAAAAATACAAAATATCAACAAAACGCGTTTCGCTTGGTAGGATACCAATCTTTCGACAATCGTCGCATCCATATGAAATTGTTGTAAATCCATTTTCAAACCTGCTTCTTTTCCACATAATAAATCGAATGTTACCGATCTAGACAAGGACCAGGATTTCAGACCCAACCGAGAAAAAAATCGCTGGCTCGCTTACGCTATGAATCGGCAAAACGGTAATCATTTACATGGCATGAATGAGGGCCAACTGGAACTGGCACCGATCGAAATGGTGGACGTGGACATGGACGGCAGCTATCAAGGGGATGAACTTGAAAACAATCCCACACAGAAGCCATCCACTAAGTCCCTATCACCGATTGTCAGCGATCATGCTCTCAACGTGCTCAACGAGCTGCGCGAAGCGAATCTGCTGTGCGACGCGCAGATCTCGGTGGGTGAGCAGTCCTTCAATGTACACCGTGCCATCATGTGTTCCTGCAGCTCATATTTTCGGTGAGTTGAGGAATGTTGTTAACGCTGGTAATTGCTGTCTATTTTGGCAATATTATTACACTTTAATTTTGTCATCGCTATTAAAAAGCACTGCAAACAGAAATTACACACATGTTAAAAGACAGACTTTACACACCCATCTAAAAGCATTTTCTATATCCCTCTCAATTTACTTCAGTCTCACGTCTCACTTTAACTGCCATAGCCTCATGATGAATCAAGCAGCAACTCAGTATGATAGCTACGCACATGCAAACAAACACAAAACGCATATGCAATGTCTTTGGTTGCATGTGGGAAGTTAAAGATGAAAGTAAATAATTCATTAATCAGGCAACTTCAGTTTCCCAAAAACAATTTACTTGTTAATTATTTTTGATTTGTCATTTAAAAAGATTAAAGCAGACAATACTAAAATTTTTCGCAAACTGAATACCGCAGCACACTCATGGAAGTGTAAAAGATCATGGTGGGATTGCGATATCCACCTCACTGTAGCTGTATGCCTCTCGCTTTTACTTACACAGTTCATATCTTACATGTCACAGCGAGTAGAGAAATATTCACCTCACACATGCAGACTAGCGGTCAAGGCACTGCACAAGTATGCGTGAGTTTACATTTTCGTATGTGTGTATGTAATTATTAAATGAAGATTAAATCAAATTTATCAGCCATTTTACATTTCAGTGGAAGTAAAGGTTTGTTGGCGAAATTAAATTGTTTGCCATGACTTCAACAACTTACCAATACAATAATTGCAATGTGCTAACTTATTTTGTATTTTATATTTTATCTTTGTTGCTGCTTCCATTTTACTGTTTACCGGCAGCGCACAGTTTACGGGGTTTAACAGCCGCACCGGTGCGGGAAATGACGAGAGCCGTGTCGTGCATATACCGGGGATCAGTGCGTCCATCATGAACTGTGTGATACAATACGCCTACCTGCGCAAGACCAACATCAGCGACGATAACGTGCACGAGCTGCTCATTTGCGCGGACTATGTGGGTATGGTGGGGCTGGTCAAACAGTGCAAAGACTACCTCAGTCACACACTGAGCCCGGAGAACTGTGTCAGTATCATGGGGTTTGCGCGGTTCGTATGAATTCCAATTACCACATACTTTTCACTTTTTCACTAATCTACTTTCACTTTACATCCTGCATGGATGGCCACCTTCAATCCTAATCTTGTTTAATTGCAAGGAGAAAGGAGAAATATTAATCCATTTTTAATTGATTGACATTTTGCCTTGTGCCATTTTGTAGTTTCCGTTTCCTCGAGGACTTGTATCAAAAGGCGCGCAATTATACGCTTAGGTACTTCACAGATGTGGCCGCCCGGAATACAGACATACTTGACTTGAACATTAAGGACTTTTACAGCATTATTAGTGATGACGAGCTGAATACACGTGAAGAGGATTACGTTTGGAAGCTGTGCGTCAAATGGATTGACCGAGATCCAGAGAACCGTAAACAGCATGTGGCGCATCTGATGACGGGCGTGCGCCTTGGTCTGATGACCCCCAAGGTAATCAGCCATATTCAGAATTTTAAAATACAACTAATTATATGAATTGAATGTTGAATCCTTAGTGCTTCATGGAGGAGGTCAAGGAGCATCCCTATGTCATTCAATGCGAGGCTGCCAAGCCGCTGATAGTCGATACCTTTAAATTCATGTATGATCTGGACTTTCTTAACCCACAAGCCGAAGAGGTAATGCTAACACCCCCTCTGCTCCTGCAGCAGCAACTTATACGTGCCATTTGATTTGCCCTTTCAACCCAAGCTAACGACACCACCGCTGGCGATGCCCCGACTGCCCCACGAGGTCATTTTCGCAATTGGCGGCTGGAGTGGTGGCACATCGAAGGGTTGCATCGAGACTTATGATACACGTGCCGACCGTTGGGTTAATATCAATGCCGAGGATCCAGCTGGACCACGCGCCTACCACGGTACCGCCGTACTTGGCTTCAAAATTTATTCCATAGGTGGTTATGATGGCGTCGAATATTTCAACACCTGCCGCGTCTTTGATGCCGTCAAGAAGAAGTGGAACGAGATCGCCCCCATGCACTGCCGTCGCTGCTATGTCAGCGTCGCGGAGCTAAATGGCATGATCTATGCCATTGGCGGCTACGATGGACACAATCGCCTCAATACCGTCGAACGCTACAATCCCAAAACCAATCAGTGGTCAATCATTCCACCCATGAACATGCAACGGTCCGATGCGAGCGCTTGCACGCTGCATGGACGCATCTATGCAACGGGTGGATTCAATGGGCAGGAGTGCCTGGATAGTGCCGAATACTATGATCCGCTGACCAATGTCTGGACGCGCATACCAAATATGAATCATCGTCGCTCCGGCGTCAGCTGTGTAGCGTTCAGAGATCAGCTCTATGTCATTGGCGGCTTCAATGGCACATCCAGACTGTCCACTGGCGAACGATTTGATCCGGAAACCCAATCGTGGCATTTCATACGCCAAATGAATCACTCGCGCAGCAATTTTGGTTTGGAGATAATCGATGACATGATCTTTGCCATTGGGGGATTCAATGGCGTCTCCACCATCTCGCACACGGAATGCTACGTAGCCGAAACGGACGAATGGATGGAGGCAACGGATATGAATATTGTACGTTCCGCGCTATCGGCCAACAATGTGGCTGGGCTACCCAACAAGCGCGACTACATACACAAGGAGCGGGATCGCCTGATGGAGGAGCGACGTCAGCGTCTAATGGCCACGGCAATGGCGCGCGAAGATGTTGGCAGCACGAACCGTTCACAGTCGATGGTTGACAATGATCCGGCCCTGGATGACTTAGATGATGAAAGTCCCAATGAGGATGTCGATGGTGAGGAGCTGCAGTTGCCGCAGCAGGCGGCTTTACCGCTGCCAGCTCCTGGCATAGCGCCAGTAGCCGCAGCTGCTGCTATCGATGCAGCCGCCTTGCCCGCCGCCAACCTCAATCGCCAGGCTGAGGATCGGGGCCCCGACAATAATCGGCGCTTTCGGGTGCAGCTGCGTAATCAGCGCTATGGCTCGCATCATGAGATACGTCGTCGGTCGTAGGCGCCGCTCGCGCCATGGTGGCCAACGTTGAACCATACTGACATACCGAACAGGTCTCCTGTCCCCTGCTCTCACCCTTCTTACCTTGAAACCGGCTGTGACCCCTTAGAGATTTAATAACCACCGGCGAATTTGCCCAACGAATATGTTTTGGAGGCGTACGTACACACAACACTAGAGGATGCGTTAGCGTGGGTAAAGGTATTCTGGTGCAGAAATTCGCAGCGTGGCCCACGTCCATAGAAACCGTTTTTTTATTAACCTTTCGATAGTTCACACAATTCTTGGCAACTTAACTACAAATTTTATTGCATAATATGAGGCGCGAAATATGTTTTGTTGCCAGAATAATGACGTTTCGGCCATTTCACCAAGAAAATTCCGTTATCCAAATTTCTCATGGTATTACAAAATTCTTTGCATCATACACAATAAAATGCAGAATATTAATAATACCAAATGATGTTTCTCTAAAAATATCCTTAAATTCAATTCAATTTGAAATTCAAATTGTTAACTGCAAATGAAGTCCAATTGGATTTCAATGCAAAACTCCAAGCAATAATCAAGTTTATTTTTAGCCTAACCATTCCAAGTCAAGGGCTGACCGATGCGCAGTCGCCGCGACACAGCCGCTGCCGCCTCAGGTATAAATAGGCATGGATGCTGAGAGCATTCAACAGAACGCAGCCGACTGCGACGCAAGCAGCACGCATACAACAGCAACTCCAGCCAAGTGAATAAGAGAAAGCTTTGAAATGCTAGCAGTGTTGTAAGTTACGAAAAACTGCATTAATTTGAAAGTGTTTAACTGTCATATACATATCTATAAACCGTTATATACACAGGCTACCGTTGGTTTTATTGGCCTCGCCTTGGCTGCGTGTGGGCACTGCCCAATTGGTTGATCTGCAGCCGGTTTACACTGGACCCACAATTGCGCCACTCGGTTGCCATCGACGCTTGTACACGTATCGTGTGACTCAGTCGGATTTGCAGGGGCGCGAGTGCTGGGACTTCGTGAGCGTCTGGAGCTGTTGGGGTCGTTGCGATTCCAGCGAGATATCCGATTGGAAATTCCCCTACAAGCGCTCCTTCCATCCGGTCTGTGTGCATGCGCAACGCCAGCCATCGGTGGCTACGTTGAAAAACTGTCATCCCGAGGCGGACGACAGCATACGCAAATACAAATATATGGAGGCCGTTAATTGTCATTGCCAGACCTGCTCCACGGAGGACACCAGCTGCGAGGCGCCAGCCAACAATGATGTGGACGAACGCAAAAGCGCTAAGGTTTTAGCCTTAACTAATGATGACACAGGCGCACTCGACTATTGAACGATCGTAGATAACAAAGTGTAATAGTAGTAGTAGAACATCTTAGTGGTAGTACAGTGTCTTGGCGCATTTATTACAATAAAGCTTTTCATTTGATGGCAAGTTGCATTTAAAGCATACCACTTTATTAGCTCGATTTGATTTACATGATTTTTTTTGGTTATCTGCAACAAGAATTTTGGTGTGCCAAATGTTGATTTTAACATTGAAACTAGAAAGGAAATTCTTATATTGTGTCCAGATAAATCTAAATATATATATACATATACGTATATATTCTATATATATATATACATATATGTAATGTGTGTGTGTATTTCTTTTATAATATAAAACAAAACTATATTTGACGGTTAAGCGCTGCGAAGCGATTCCTACACAAGCACTCATGTGTACATATTTCTGCCATATGCCACAGTTAGGTTGGCAGCTATAGCTATTCACTTTTACTAAGGACTACGCCGCCGTCTCACCTACAGGAATTTTGGACTTGAGTTTGTGTTGTTGCTCTCTTGCGCCAACAGGTATAAGCAATAGAGCGATGATATGCCCAATCCAATAGCTCCACCCAAAGCACATTTTCGCAGGCCAGCTACAAATACAAATAATTTAAATATATAATGATGAAATATATTTGTAATGAGTTGGCCAAGTCACCTGTGGATTTGTAGAGCAGGCCTGTGGCAGAACCGGCTATGATGGTGTTTATATTATCATCCTGATCCCGAACATACTGCAGCAACACACCACACGCCGAGTACAGCACAGCCAACGTACCTAATGTATTCGCTGTACCGGATCCCTGTTTCATGACGTGATTGATTAATCTACAAATAAAAGAGACATTAGCATATACGTACAGAAAGTAAGAGTGCATTCACACTCAATATACGAGATAATCAAATGGCCGCATAATCACTTACTGGGTACGACGCAGCTTCCCCGTCTGATTGAGCGCATTAGTAACTTTAATGCCATTGTAGACCCCCGCCAAACCGCCAATGCCACCGCCAATCATCACAGATGTGCCAATTTGTGAAAAGGCCAACTCAAAGCGTCCACGCTGCTTGTTGGCGCCCTCGGGAAATATAAATTCTGGCTGCGCCTGTTGCAGGAATCGTGAATCATAGTTGAGGTATGGCGAGACGGGAGCACTACTGAATGTGCTCGCTGCCGGTGTGTAGGTTGTTGCCGTTGTCTGTGTGTCGTCAACTGCAATGCACAAGTAACAAATGATAGAATTAGAGATTTTCATTCAAAAAACCGTGCATGTAATCGTTTGTCCAATTGCGTAATGAATGCCAACGGCGGCCGTTGCTTACCGGCTGGTGAGGGAGCTAATGAAAACGGTTTCCTTAAGTAGTCGTCACTCATTTTGGAATTTAATCGCTTGCCTTGCCAAGGTTAGTTACTAATTTACGATCAATCAGATGTCAATTTAATGAAGCTTACAACACAAATGGGAAACGAGTGCGTTTCCCGTGCTCTGCTTATGTTTCTAACTTTTTCTAACTTTGTACTCTTGTCAGCGTGACATATGTATCGCACGTGTGTTGTTCAACACTCTACGAGATGATGTTTCTCAACACTTCGACATTTTTATTGTGTTTGCCGAGGCTAGTACGCAGAGCCAACCAAACAGCTGTTCAACGATCAGCTGTTGCGTTCAGCTTTGCAACACTCACGAAACGACTTTATCGTTATCGAGCTGAGCGCGTATTTTGCAGCACTACGGCTGTGGTTTTCGTTGCGTGCGGTTGTGTTTTGATGGTTGGTTTTATATAGTAGTTGGTTGTCCCATTATCCCTAATCGAAATAGAGAAAATTAATAATAAGTTGGTACGCCCATAAAGCAAAGGGAGTCATTACAAAGGACAAAGAATTACAACGAAAACAGCCCCAACGAATCCAAAACGCGTCGTTTCCGAGTGTTATCGTTGCTGCTGCCGTTGTTGTTAATGGTCTGGGAGTTGAAGAAGTAGCGGAGTGGGAGCAAAGGTAGCCGGCATTTGAAGTGTATTTGTATTTACTTTGGCTTGCCGAGCCTGTACTCTATCTTAGCCGTCATCACCATGTCGTCCACCGAGGTGAAATTGTCTCGTCTATTGGGACTAGCGCAAAAGTTTAATAATTTCTACTTGACAGGTGAGTAATACAGCTGAATACATCAGCGTCTTAATTCTCTTTGTTGTTGTTTTGGGTTTGGCTCTCCGTTGGCGCTCGCCTTTCGGCCATGAAAATGGGTTTGGCTGCCACTGAACCTGTACATACACACTCATACACACACACAAAGCACACTAGCGCACATTGTGGGCGGCTTGGGCGCCAATACAATGGGCGCAGCTTATACCGTTTACTGCAAGTGCAGTAAGAGCGAGAGCAAAAGAGTGCAAATTATCGATTAGTTTGTTTACTTACGTTTGCAAGTGTGCGTGCGAGTGTGTATGTGTGTTTGTGAATGTTTGTGTGCAGTTGCTGTTGGTGCTGCTGCGACTGCCAGCAAATGTCTCATTGCCAGTTCGTTTCGCAGCATCCAATCAGCAGCGAATTGACATTGAAATTAATTTCCTTTTGGCTATTTTTATGCCTAGCCAAAAATCGTATCTTCCTAAGTATTTAATTGAGTTTAATGAGTGTTATCGATCGGCCCACTTCCGTTCGATAAGTTCACCTGTTGCGCTGACGCTTGTAATCCGATGATAGCACTAAATTATTGGGTTGTTTACCACCACGCTGCTGCTGCTRCTACACCGACTATTGCCCTCCCAGGTTTTCGCAGTAATAAACGCTGTCGCACACAGCTCAACAGCTGTGCCCTATCGGATTTCACTTTATAATTCCATACACATTAATTGCAATTAAACCAAATGCTAAATAAACAAGCGGCTCTTATGCAAGATCATATTTATCAAGCAAGCGCTTTGTAATATATACATATATTTAATATGTAACAATGTTTTTAATTTAGGACGACTAACTTAGTCACCAATATACTATTTTTATATAAATATAAATATCTATAAATCTATATAAAAATATTCAAATATATGTACAGTGTGTGTGTATGTGCTCTTGGATCGCAGCGCAGCAATTTTACAAATTAGTTGCCACTGATTTGGTCTTGTAACCAGATTTTTATCGCATCACCTTGAGGGCAACTTTTAGCATTTTCAGTGACAACAACAACAACAAAACATGCAACAACAGCTAAAGCATCTCATACACAAACACATCGAACTATACTTGCTCTAAAAATCAGATATATGTGTATGTATATACATATAAGTATATTTAGAGATAGATGTTTATGGCTTGATTAAGTGCAAAAAATGTGACATACACAGGCAAACATACATATGTATGTATGTACATATGCTCACTTAATTGGGATAGAGCACTTCTCTTTTCCTCTGTCTTTCTCACTCTTTCGCTCTCCCTCTATTCTTCTCTATGTATTCTTCTCTTTTTACCACTCTTTAGCTCTCTATCTTCGCTGATAAGCGGCATGCGCGCTTTCTGCTATTCGGCATGCTATTTTGTTTTGCTTTCAACTATTTCAACTTGTTTTGCTATGAATCTCGAAACGAATTTGAATATAATTTGTTGCCGTTTTTTGGTTTTCCATTTTGTTTCTATTTATTTGCATACCCTGAATTTTGTGGGCTTATGTGCTACAGTAAATTGGTCAAATAGTTTCACATTTATTTCTCAAATTTTCAATTAGAAAACGTGTACATAATCTTATTGGGATTCTACATTCTTATGTCATTCGTAATCTGCGTTGCGTAATTGGTTTTACTTTTAATCTAATTAGAATTATTTTTCGTTCTGATAGCCTCCTCACATTTTCACATTTTACAGGGTATCGCATTATTGTTTTCAGAATTATCTTATTTGTATATACAAATTTGCTTTAACTGCCTTTTCGCATTTCAAGTTGTTTATCTATAGATTTTAAAGCGAAAAGTAAATGAGCATTTATTGTTTATGTTTTGTTCGCTTTTTTGTTCTCTTTCTATATATGTCCATAAACTCGCCAGTCTAGTGACGCAATAATTGAGCTTACCAATTAATAATTCAACGACGATCTCACCGACCGGCACAAACTAGTATATTGATTTCATTATCTGCAATATTTGTGACTTAACACACATTTTATGAAAGAAATATTATTGCCAATATTCGATTTCATTTATAATAGGTGCTGCTGATTTAGAAAGGCCGATTGCAGCTATATATCAATAAAATAAATATTTATTTTTAATCAACTTCAAAAAGGAAAAAAAACTGCAAGGCAATCAAAACAATTGCAAACAAAAATCTCTTTTCTACCTATATATACATATGTATATTGTTCTGATAATAAAACATATCCATACATTTATACATATATAATACATATGATCAATAGCAATACCAGCTGTTCAGATTTGTTTGTATTGTTTTGTTTGTGCAAAAATAGCATCTTAATAAATATACTTTAACACCCATTCATAAAGCTATAAACATTTTTAGTAACCACTAAAGTTAACCACTTTTCCAGTTCAACTACCTTGCCAAAAATTAAAAAAAAAAAAAAAAAACAATATACATCTATGTATATAATATTAAAAAAAATATACCCTATATCAAAATTTCTTAAGTGGTTTTTCTTTTCAAACAAAATGTACTTAAGGCTAATTAGTTGACTATTATTTCTATTAGCTTTAAGGTTTTTCTACTTATCTAATCAAATAGCGCGTGCTGTTTGCTTCCAATCGAACCCAGAATGAACTTTAAAATTTCAACAGTGGGAAAAAGTGTTTGCTGTTAATCAAATTTTGAACAAATTTCAGCTGAAAGACTGATTGAGAATTGAATATAAGACGGCTTATCATAATTATGCAGTAATAAACATATGTTTTGGTGATAACCAAGTTTCAAATGTATGTCCATAAACAAATATAATTGTCTAGCTATTGTCTAGATGCCCTTTATTTTACTTCTGTTTATAGAGCACTGTATATATAATATTTAAATATTATCTTCTCATAATACAATAAATTGAATATGTTTAATGTAAGCTAACTAGGAATTTTTTATAAATAATATTCATATTAGTATACTTAATCAATAATCTTTGTTCACTAATATAGTCAATTGTAGTCGGAAAATGTCTTTATATACAGAAGCTTTATATCTTACATCTCACAGATAATTTAATCTTACCGTCATACACACACTCATACACACACACAAATTGAATAAAAATTACCCTTTTCAATATTACGGCAAACTTATAATTTACAATTCGAATCTAAGATATTTCTTTGTTAGCCACAATTCAATTAGGCAGCCATCTACCTCAGGGCCATTTCAAGTGCAATTCTTCTTTGTCTAATTAACGTTAATTGTGTCGCAGGCTTTCATAAGGATGACATACGTCCATTTCTGGTTGGGGGTCAGCAAGTCGGTCTCATTAAAGCGGATGTCTACAAGCAGCTGCTCAAGTTTCCTGAAGTGTTCTGCATACGTGACTGTCAATATACCAAGCAGGTGAATATTAACCAAAAATAGCTATAGTTGAATCTGAAGTGTATATTCATTCATATATATAATAACATTTGCCAGGGTCTGGTTGAGCTGAATCCGGCATTCCGGGACTATAACGAACGTACCGTACACCTGGATGAAGTATTACGTAATCTGCGCAGCGATGGCTCGTTCTCGGCATTAAAAGGATGGCGGGATGAGTGCTTCGAGGTGAAGTTCGAGCACAAGGCACTGCTAAAGATGGAGCGAGCGGCAACGCCGTTGTTTGGCGTACGTAAATATGGTGTAGACATCAATGGATATGTTCGGCATCCGCAGCACGGCTTGTGCATTTGGCTGCAGCAACGCTCCAACACCAAAGAAACCTGGCCTGGCAAATGGGATAATATGGTGGGCGGCGGTCTATCTGTTGGGTTTGGCATTATGGAGACGGCCGTTAAGGAGGCCGCCGAGGAGGCATCCATTCCAAAAGATCTCGTCAAGAACCTGGTTTCAGCCGGCTGTGTCTCGTTCTTTTTTGAAAGCGATCAGGGTCTGTTTCCCAATACTGAATACGTGTTTGACTTGGAGCTACCAGTGGACTTTGTGCCACAGAACGCCGATGGCGAGGTGCAGGCATTCGAGCTGCTGCCGGCCAACGAGTGTGTGGAGCGCGTATTCACGCCGGATTTCAAGACAACATCGGCGCCCGTGGTTATCGATTTCTTAATACGACATGGCTACATAACAGCCGAGAATGGTAAGAACTTATCTTCCTATAATCTCACGAGTCTCTTCTAATTTTATGCGTCTTTCCTGTAGAAATAAATTTCACGGAGATTGTGGAGCTGCTGCATGTGCCGCTGCAGTCATTGTACACGTACAAAACGCGTCTGGAGCAGAAACTGCAGCAGCACCAGTCGACACTGCCCAAGGACGATAACAACTGCAACTGCGACAGTGAGCCAAAGAGGCCGCTGGAAAACGGGCACAACAAAAAGGATGGCGCTTAGGCCTCAACCTAATGGCAACGGAAATTGGACATCGAATGGGAAATGGAACGTGAATCATGACCACTGCATAGAGCAGCTGTGGATTTGTTTGAGAGACTGCTTTTGTAGTGGGATTTGTGAAATCCAAAAGAAAAAGAAAAAGAAAAATCAACAGCCAATAATATACACACAAAACATATATACTATATATACTATAACTGAAAAGGATAAGGAAAGTGGTGAGAAAAGCAAAACAACCAATCAACCAACCAACCAAACGAAACGAAACAAGTATAGCCTATTAAACTAATTATTATTTAATATAAAGGCAACACTTAATGTTAAATTTTATGTTTACATACTGTGTGGAAGTCAAAATGTATGTACTTTATATATATTAGTATACGCATGCTTATATGGGATACTTATATATTTATGAAATTATTTAAAATATTTATTATATATATACGTACCACATGCATAAGCATAAGCATAAGCTAAATATACATATTATATATACTTACATATATCCTACTATATATTTGACAAAAATGCCCGCAGATAAGTTACTAATAGTTTGTTCTTTGATATTCCAATCATGTAATAATTACAAAATGACGTGACGCCACATTCTTAGAGTTTTTGTGAAGAAATAAATACTAGTGAACACAAACGGACAAGTTATATAAATATATATATGCCTATATAACACATTTATATATATACATATATATACGATAGTTAAAATATAAATTATATGTAACGAGATATTAAAATGACATTTACTATTATGTGTGTGTACCAAAGTGCTCAAACTTAAGCAAATATTTAATATTAATTATTAGTTTTCTGTTGAATTTGTAAAACTTTTTTAACTTAATAAAATGAAATACTTAATTGGCGCTCGATTGAATTCAAATCCAGCTCGTGACAGCACGAAACTCACGACTTGTATCAAAATGAAAAAAACTCAAAATATATCGACCAATCAGCTCTGTCCAGGGCCACACAGCACTGCCAGCCCTGCGAAAACGTCAAATCACAATGAGTGTGGCAACGCTAAACGGGTAGCCATCTTTCTTTCTTTCCCCAACTTCACGACCGCGTGGACGTCGATACGTAAAAGGTTAGCGAATATTTTGTAGAAATTGCATTAAAATACCTTAAAATGCAGTTGAAACGCGCCTTAAAATATGCTCGCGTGTGCCGTGCACATGTATATTCTGTGAAATGTTGCTAAAACTGTTTGTTTATTGCAGGGAACCACAGCCAACAAAATGACCAACTCAAAGGGATACCGTCGCGGCACCAGAGACATGTTCTCTCGCCCATTCCGCAAGCATGGTGTCATTCCCCTGTCCACATACATGCGCGTTTTCAAGAACGGCGACATCGTTGACATTAAGGGACACGGTGCCGTTCAGAAGGGTATGCCCTACAAGGCCTACCACGGCAAGACTGGCCGCATCTTCAATGTCACACAACACGCCGTTGGTGTCATTGTAAACAAACGTGTGCGCGGCAAGGTTCTAGCCAAGCGCATCAATGTGCGCATTGAGCATGTGCATCACTCCAAGTGCCGTGAGGATTTCCTGCGTCGCGTCAAGGAGAACGAGCGTCTGCTCAAGGCTGCCAAGAAGGACGGCAAATGGGTGAACCTCAAGCGTCAGCCCGAGCAGCCAAAGAAGGCGCATTTCGTTAAGAAATTGGAAGAACCTATCGCCCTGGCGCCAATTCCATACGAATTCGTTGCCTAAGCGGAGTCGACGAAGAGAGATGTGTTTGTTTACGATTTGTAACAGTGTAGATTGGTTAATTCTAAACTAAGTTTTAAATAGAATTGATTTTCTATATGATTGCCGTAAACAATCAGTTAACTGTTTTGTTTTTTCTCGTACGATTCGGGGTGAATGCAAATGCAGGAATAACGGGCTGCTATTGGAATAGGCGAAAACAGCTGTAATCGACATTCTTCTTCTTTCCAGTAGTTGAGTTGGTCGTGTTTTGCAATCAAGACAATAATTCTGAAAAAAAAAATAAATAAAATGAAAAAGATTGAAAAATCGAAAAGTTTAAACACCTGTGATACATGCGGCAAGTGCTTTGTGAAGCCAGCTTTGCTCCGTCGGCATCTGGCTGTGCACAGCGCCGACAAGGCATTTCCAGTAAGTTTTGCCATGTGCTCAGAAACCTTTCATGGCTTTTTTCAAGTGCTTATGATGCCTAAATATATTGCAGTGCGAAAGCTGCTGCAGTCGCTTCTCTCAAAAAAGTTCACTGCTACGTCACAAACGCATCAAGCATGATGTAGCAAAGGAGTGCGACGACTCCGACGTAGCGCAACATGCACTGGCTGCCCTGAAGCTGTTGCAAGGCAGCCATACGCCTACAGAGAATGCAATTGCTACCCAAATGAAATCATTTGGTTCGTTAGGCTCACTGGCCACTCTGGAAGAGAAAGCATCTTGTAATGTAGTAGAACTGAGGGACAAGCTCAATCCAGCTGGTGAAGTCCATATGCTCATCACACAGCGCATAGTGCGACAGAACCCCAATCGATGCTACTATGTCTGTGAATATTGCGCTAAGGAATTCAGCAAGAGTTACGATTTGATAAGGTAAGATTAGCATCTAGGAATACACACATACACAAAAAATAAGCAACTGTGCTTGCCAGACATCGTCGCTCGCACACCAAAGAGACGCCCTATCCGTGCAATCAGTGCTTCAAGCGGTTCGCGACTAAGAGCAAGCTAAACGAGCATAACAAACGCCTGCATGCTGCTGTGAAAAAGCATTCATGCAGCCAGTGTGCTTCCAGCTTCAGCAGCAAGAGTAGGCTGCACAAACATTTGGCTGAGAAACATCCTCATATGGTGGTTAGCTGCACGCACTGTAGTCGCACCTTCCCATCGAAATCTGCCTATGAGGCACACATGAAACTAGAAGCAGATCCGATCAGAGGAAAACTCGTCGAACTTTTGCCGCAGCCAGTGCTGTCGCAGCGCAGCTACAAGTGCATCTACTGCGAAAAGCAATTCAAACGCAAATTCAACTGCCGCACACATATGCTGCTGCATCTGCGGCGTTTGGTGGACCCAAAACAGCTGAAATATAGTTGCCTGCAATGTGGCAAACAGTTCAAGCGACCCAACGACTTGGCCCGTCACTTGCTAACGCATTCTAAGCTTAAGCTGCACATATGCCACGTATGTCAAAGACGCTTCACCCTAAAGTCCACATTGGCCAGACACCTGGAAACGCATCAGCCACAGCGAAGCAACGTTAATTGTCAAGTGTGCGGCAAGAGCTATGCCTCCAAGACATCCCTGCAGCTACATCTGCGGTTGCACACCGGCGAACGGCCCTTCAAATGTGAAATTTGCGGCGAAACCTTTCGTACATCGGGACACAGATTGGAGCATATGCGAGCCGAACGGCACAAGAATGCATCATCCAATGCACTAATTCTTTGATCAAATTTGCATAACATATAAAAGTCTATATTTCATAAATACCAAATTACTATTACATCTATGTCCCCCTTATTGTTGGTTGAACCCAGGTGAAGTACCATAGTAAAACTGTTTATCAAATTGTTGACTCTTGGACAGTTCGCTGATCTTTTGCCGCTTATCTGCCAGTATGAAGTCATCATCCTCAATCATTTCGGAATCGCCACGCTTGCGACGCACAGTCTCAATTGCAACATTCTCCGCCGACTCTTCCAGCTCATGTACTCTATAGACCAGATAGTTTGGCTCTATGTATTTATTGGACCTGCAAAATTAACCAATATAATAGTCGCATTCATATGGTCGAATTGGTTGGGCAACTTACAGTGGCAGAATATATGGGTCAAAGGGAAAGAACGTTTCAAGCGTTTCCTCTGGCATCAGCTTGTCATGGCCATAGATGGTAGCCAACTTGCGACGTGCATTGCGCTCCAGCACGGTGTGACAATACGCCAATTGGTGGGTACGTGTGACACCCGCAAATGCGGTCGCCACCGGTGGCAGGCAGTAGCGCAGTGGGTTAAAGTGGCACATGGCCAACCGGGACAACTGCAGAGTATTCAGCAAAGTCAAATCTAGAACAAATCAAAATATCCGTTAATATCAAAAAGTAAACCATTTAAACAAATGCAATTACTTTTATGATTAATTGTCAAATCGCGCGCACGAAAAGCGATTAAATAAAACATGGCCTGGCAAACGGAGAAGAAAACCATGTTAGCTTTGAGGGAGCAGTTTTTGCTACTGAATTCATCCGAGTCATTGATGTAGTTATTTGCCCAGTTGCTCAGCTCCTTAAGGTAGTAGGTAATTGTGCTGAAATCAAGGAAATTTAGTATATAGTTACAAACAGGACACCAAGGGACCAACCTCAGCGGCACAAATTTGGCACGGGCCAAAAAGCTGGCAATATAGCTAACAGCTGCATGACGTATGATTGAAGATACATTTGGATTCTGCACTTTTTGCCATAGGGATGTAAGAAAGATTTCTGCATAGGCTGGACGAATGCTGCACGCATGAAAAATGACGAACTGGACGTGATGTGTGTTGTGGCTGGGTAGCAGCACTTCATCAAATATGTGGACAAGCGTCTTGAAGAATCGAGTTTTGGCAACGCGCTGGTCATCGCTACAATCAGGTTGCGGACGGCATTTATCGTCCACAAATTTAAAGAGCTTCATTAAGCATATGTCCAGCATTTGTCCAATGGGATGCTCTAGCGCTTGTGGAGGTTTAGGCGGAACGCTCACATCGTCCATTTGAAATATGGCCTCATCTTCCATCTTATCGTCTTCGTCATCGGTTTCCTCCTTGAGCGCTTCGATTTCATCGCGTGGAGCATTCACGTCCAGTATGAGCAGTCTGCCAAGAAAATTATATAAATTAAATGCTCTTCACATAAATCATCAGTAATTGCTTACTTTTGCAGAACCAGCTGCAGCAGTAGCTCCTCGAACACCGGCTTGTAATCCATCAGCCACAGCACATTATGCAAATAGCCAGCCGTGACATGAGCTGGCTTCTTAAAGTACGGAAATTTACCTGCGATCGTATCGATGACCACGTCGAAAGCCATCGGCACAGCGGTTAGAATACGATTGAGTAAATTATGCACAGTTTCTAGTTCAGCTTTCACACGTTCCGATGGGCAACCTTCCAGCCATTCCGCGGATTCCTGGTCACTAGGTATCCAATTTAAAATTAATTTGGTTATGCCAATTTGTATATACGAATTGTGTGCGATCATAACATCGATGCTAAATTCTGTGTAGGCTTGAATGGCGGCCGGGCTATACTTCTTCCAGTTAACCGACAGTAGGGCCTCAACAAGATTGGCAAAGTCCGGTGTCAAGCTGTGCACTATTTTCCGAGCATCTTTCATAATCTGCACGACTTCCTCATCCTATAACAATATGCGTAATTGAATGCAATATATAATATGCAATAATATTTTGCTTTACTTACACAGAGATCAGCTTCTCGAAGGAAGTATGTAAACTCCTGAATCAAATGAAAATTCTTTTCTTCCAATGCCACACGCACCGATTCAACGATGCCCTTTTCCTTGGGCGTGATGAAGCGCACCTTGTTAAGCGCCGCTGTCTTGACGCGCTCACGATCCGCACTGGAGAAGGACTTCAGTATGGATGTGTTGGTCGTTTTACTACTGTAGACAGACATTGCACGACAAAATACTGTTTCTTATTTTTTTAATGTATTATTTTCTAATAATACGCAATTGCGTTCGACAAATGTTAAATAAGCTGCTAGTTACTGGCTGAGTTGTTTGCCGAGTATTTCCTGTCTTTCTAAGTTTTATAAGTTAAACAACAACGAAAATACTCTAGAGGATACGTATTTAAGTAAACTGGCATTATATTTGGCTTTTTCAATGCTTATCGAAAAGATTTTGCTAACGTACGCTCGCAGCTGAAATCAAAACACGTGTGGAACATTTACAGTGTGCCCAGGTTTTGTTCATTTATTTGCGAATTGCCTATTTTACCAGTCACAACGATACGTCGACGGCAGACGTCAATAGTCGACGCTACATGTGTTGCGCGTAATTTTAGTTTGTGAACGAGATTTTAATAATGGCGTCGTTATTTGTGGTGGACACTTGTGGCGACCAGCAGTTATTCAGTGGAGATGGTCTACAGCACTCCTCTATTGTATATAATGAAATCTCCAAGGGTCGGGAACTGGCTGTTGATCAGGAGGCTAGCGAAGAGGAAGATGAGCAGGATGATGAGGAAATGGAACTGTTTGGCGTCAAGTTAAGGTGTAAAGATGTTAGCAAAGTTCTTGCTACCGCACAGGGGAATACCAAACGACTGCCTTCCAAAGTGGCCCTCCAACTTGATGAGGTTACTGAAATGGTGAACGAAGCGGCACAAAATGCAGCCACGCACAAGTTACAAATGCGTCAGAGGATCACAGAAATCAACAGCGAGACGAGCGAGGATATACAAGTGCGAAAAATAAATCTCGAAAAAGATATGCAAAATACGAAGGACTTAAACGGCATCGCACAGCAGAAGGCATTACCCACAGTGTCCAGGCGCAAGCAGCCCGTACTAAACAGAGTAAGTAACTAGGTAATACGTTGAGGTGGAAGATTATATTGGAGAAGCATCTATGATGACATATTCGACAACCGAAGCTACGCCCAATGGGCGTAGCAAGTGCACACGTCTGCTGCTCGAGGCCACTGCTGTTACCCGAGACTCACTCACAGATAATAGCACAAAGTTTCGTCCGCTGTAATCTTAGCGGCCGCCTCGGAGTATGCGGCGGTTGCTGTAAGGCCAACGGAACAGCAATGCCATTTAACGCTAGACTGTTGTTTGCCATCGAGTCAAGGCAGATGATTTAGGCGTGGGCGCACAATTTTAACTAATCAATGAAACATAGTGCTATTGTCGCCCCAAAACACAGCAGTGGCCAAGGCAGACGCTGTTGCCACATTGATGACGTCTTTAGTAATCTGAGTGCTGCTGCTCCTAGTAAATGAATGCACCAAATCATGATTTCGTCTACATAAACTTACTTGGTTTAATTACAGGCGGAACGTGCTAAGACGAAGGGCAGCGGCTGGTTTGATTTGCCGGCAACAGAAGTTACTGATGAAATGCGCAATGAGCTGAAGATTATACAAATGCGTTCGGTGCTGGATCCTAAACATTTCTACAAAAAGAATGATCTGAAGGTGCTGCCAAAATACTTCCAAATCGGCACAGTTCAGCCCTCGCCTCTGGATCATTTTGAAGAGAAACATATACGCAAGACCAAAAAGTCGCTGGTGGACGAACTGTTGGCGGATGAGGCCTTTCAAAGCTTTAATAAACGAAAGTATAAGGAGGTGATAATGCGAACAGATAAATACGCCCATCGCAAGGCCATGAAGAAAATGAAGAAGTTGAAGAAGAATAAATAAACAAAACTTGTTGAAAATTGTATATTAAAGCTAGTTTATAATGGAGGATCAGTCAAAGAATTTTTAGTTGAAATGTCAAAGTTTCAGAATTCTGTTTTTCAACCAAAGAGAATCGGCTATTATCATATTACTAAAGGATATATAGTTCTGATTACAGACGCTCGAATATTATTTTCTAGCATTTATTTGTATCTTTAGCTGTTTCATTTGTCCCTTGCTTCTCTTGCAATGTACTCCAAATCTGAAGCGCGAGCTTATTGAAAAGCTTTGCGTGTTCAGAGTCTGGATGCTTAATAACAACAGGTGTGCCCGACTCGCCGCAATCGGCTATATGTGAGTCTAAGGGCAATGAGATGAGCGTCTCTGGTAGCTTCGGATGTGAAGATCCAGTTAGGGGTTTGAAAAACTCGATGTGATGATTGCAATTGTCACAGATGGAGTAACGCATGTTTTCAACCAAGCCGAAGATAGGTACTTTCAATTTGTGGTACATCTCGGCGCCACGAATTGTGACATCGATGGCTGCTTTGTGCGGTGTGCTGACTAAGAGGACACCTGTAATTGGCGTGTGTTGTGTTAATGAGAGATGCACATCACCAGTGCCGGGCGGCGTATCTATGACCAGCACATCCAACGGACTCCAATCGGCGCCTTTGAGCAGGCGCTGTATGGCTGACATTACCAGCGGACCGCGCCATATAATCGCCCCATCAGGCGGCGTAAGCATGCCCATTGACAGGCATTTCACATTATAGTTTTGTGGCGGTATAATTTGATTCTTGTCATTGACACGAGGTTCGCTATGGAGGTTCATCATCAGTGGAATGGTTGGGCCAAATATATCGCCGTCCAACAACCCAACTCGCGCTCCTAGTTTGGCTAAACTACAAGCGAAATTTGCTGCAATAAATGTGTTACTTTGAGTACATTATTTTGACTTCAAATATTCAACACCCACCTGCTACAGTGCTCTTGCCTACACCACCTTTTCCAGATGCTATAACAATTATGTTGTTGACGCCGGGCAGTGCTTGCCGCTTTGGTAAACTGCGCGCCATCAGAGCCGCTTGATGATCCTTGAGCTTTGTTGAATAGCTGCGCTGACACAAGCGCATCAATAAAGCCATTGCTACTAGTGCTTTACCAGCTACTTCAAATAGTCCACTTGCTTTACTTTTAAAAATGGTCAAGTCGTTACGTTGTCCAACTCGTCAAATAGTGATGGGTAAAAGTTACCGATAGCTCAAATGCAGGCATAGAGTAAATACCTTAATATTAAATATAACATGCAGTGTCTCTTCTTATTGTTCTAAGAAAACGTTTAATAACCGTTGATAAAGCTCTAAGATATTAAACATATATAATTATATTGCACGGTCATGTTTAAAAAGAATATGTGTTCTACCGGCTAATCACACTTGTCGATACTTAAAATATAGTCATCGCGGTTTTAAAATGCCTCTTCAAATTATATGCATATTGGTCACATTGTACGTATGTTTATTATTTCGCTAAATTGCATTTGAATATTATTCAACCTAAAAAATTTAATCATGGATGTGGACGAAGATATCGAAACTGTTAATGTGGAAAATGATGATGATATACTTTGGTCCATTGAAGATGACACATTGTTCCAGCCATGCGGTCTGATATGTCACTCTTCATCCAGCAACAACAAAACAAAATCTGTCTTCGTTACATGGAATGAATATTATTTGCTGAATTATCGCTTTAAGAAATCGAAGAAAACCAACAGAATGGAAATGACGAAGGTTCGCATTCCACTACCAAAGGGAAGCCATCTGCGCAGTATTCACATGCTGGAATACAACACCCTGCTGCTAATGTCGGACGGACGAGTTCATTGTTTTGGCTCGATCAAGTCATTGCATCTCATATCCTGGTTGAGAGGTGTGCGTGCTTTTGCGCGCACTCAAGAAGGATTCAGCATGGTGCGCTACGATGATGATACTCAGAAGTTGCTGCTGCAGGTTTATGTGGATTTGCCCAGTTTGGGCAAGGGCGAAAGCACTCTACAGTACAGCTACGACATCACTTATGACGAACAAAATATATTTCAATGCGATTGGCAGAACGATTCCTATACCTTGCTCACGGTCACCGTTACGCAGGAGCACGAGAAGTTCATGCAGTGTCTCTTCGGAGCAGCAGCAGTTGCTGATAAGCAAATACACTTATTCAGCATTGCGGGTCACATATTTGCTTTAACTCCACAGGAGGCGGATGACGATGAAAATGTGGACACGGAGCTGGCTTACCACATTGAGGTGATCTGCATATATACCACATCCGTTCTTTTTATGCGTTTGCTACCCGCACAGAATTTGTGCTTGGTTTACCTGAGCTGCGGTACTGTGGACATTTGGTACATGTCTCAATTGATAGGCATAAAACAACGTCAGATGCATTATACTGGAAGCGAGTGGTTAGACGTTGATGCCAGCAGCGACAACGGCGATTTCTACTACACGGATGGAGAGCAGCTAGTACGTTTGAGATTCCAGTATGACGCCCAACTAGATGATTGCCGAGTGCAGCGATGTGTGAAGTCCGTGCCCGGCATGCAAGCCTGCGCCTGGGTGCAGCACATTGAGCAGCTCGTGTGCCTCAGCGACAATAACATTTTCTATCGGATCGCATTTAGTGTGGATCAGCTATCAGACGAGGGTGCGGAGACGGAGCCTGGTGTCATGGGTGATCTTACACCGACAGCCATGGAGCAACTGCGCCGCAATGCTCAAGTTCTACAGCAATATGAAAAACAACCAAATGAACTTATGGCAGCGATACAGCGTGAATATGAAAAGCAACAACTGGTTGCAGTTGCTCGCAACGAAGCCAGCTTTGAGGGCAGTTTAGAGGCAACGTTAGAGTTCCGCAGACAGCTGCCAGTCTTTGGAGTTGAGGTACTGCTATTGCATACAGCCAGACAGGCAGAACTTGATAGCACTGGCATTTATGCTATATTGCAGCTAAGGTTTAACGATTGCCAAAAGTTGCTCAATAGCAGCCACTGGCAATTGATGGTCTATCACGGACATAATGTCCATGTACATCGAATACCCACGGATTTGTTGTTGAGTCGCAAATGTAAAATTATAATACCATTGAAGAAAGTTTTCGAAGAACGATTGCCCGAATTTACAATTAAACTTGTTGCATTTCTGGAGCTGCACACACAACTAAGCGCAGTCCTGCTGACATTTCAAGTGCAGGAGCACGGCGATACATATCGCGCGCTATTCGGTGGACAGCTTTGCTCCTTAAATCTGTTTAATAAGCCGAAGTTGTCAGATATTTTGCCTAAACCAATCAAGCGGAAAATGCCTAAAGTTGAGCAAAAGATGCTGTCGCCTTGTTGCCTTACTTTAGAGCAAATTGCTGATATTTGTAATGCCAATGACAGGATTGAAAATAATATGCTAGACTTATACTTTCTAGATAGTAAATTAACCATTTCTAGCAGCGTAGAGGAGAACAAAACTGTTTTAACCATACAAAGTGAAGATGTTACGGCAGTGTATCATCTCAAGCAACATTTATTTTTGAATGTGGATCCAGAAAATGAGCCTTCAACAGGAGACGAAGTGGCGCAATTAAAAATTTTGGTAAATATAATATAAATTCAAAATATCCATTCACTTCAAGTAAAAAATTATTTTTCACAGAAATTACAACATGAAATCGATCGGTTTTATGGCGCTCAAAATACTGAAGAGGAATTTGAAGTGAATGCCCAAATACATTTAGAGTCATTGTTACTAAAATATAATACAATACGTAATACTGTTTTTTAAATTCACCAGACTTTTAAATTATCAATTTCCGCGCGCGCGTTCAAAATGTTAGCACCAACACGCCATCTAGCGTATTTTCTATACGCACACAAAGTTAGCTGCGAGTGAAACGTCAACGTTGAAAAATACGACCCTGCGTCTAAGCGGCCTGTCAGCTTCTTCCTTTTTCTTTTTCACCTACGTGTGAAGACATCGCGTATTTTGCGTCGGTGTTTGATTTTCATTAAAAAGTGAAAAATGGTGAGCACAATCAATGAAATAACCCTACAAACGTCTCAAATGAAGTGTTGCCAAGTGAAAATATGTCGAACAAAACTAAAGCGGCCATTGATGCAGCTTTATTTGATAGATTAAACTTGTGGGTTTCATGCCAGAACTGATATCCAATATTAATTTGTGTCGTGTGTGATTTACAGGGTTTCGTCAAGGTAGTCAAGAACAAGCAGTACTTCAAGCGCTACCAGGTTAAATTCCGCAGGCGTCGTGAGGGTAAAACTGATTACTATGCCAGAAAGCGTCTAACCTTCCAGGACAAGAACAAGTACAACACTCCCAAGTACCGTTTGATTGTGCGCCTGTCCAACAAGGACATCACCGCCCAAATCGCCTATGCTCGCATTGAAGGTGATCGTGTTGTCTGCTCGGCTTACTCGCACGAGCTGCCCAACTATGGTATCCAGGTAAATTAATAGAAATTTTTATAATGCAATGCAACATGCAAGCTAATGTTTACAACAAATCTTGCAGGTGGGTTTGACCAACTATGCCGCTGCCTACTGCACTGGCCTGCTCGTTGCTCGTCGTCTGCTCAACAAATTGGGCTTGGACTCTCTGTACGCTGGCTGCACCGAGGTCACCGGTGAGGAATACAACGTTGAGCCCGTCGATGATGGACCAGGAGCTTTCCGTTGCTACTTGGATGTTGGTTTGGCTCGCACCACCACCGGTGCCCGTGTGTTCGGCGCCATGAAGGGTGCTGTCGATGGTGGTTTGAACATCCCCCATTCAGTGAAGCGTTTCCCAGGCTACTCTGGCGAGACCAAGAGCTTCAACGCTGATGTGCACCGTGCCCATATCTTCGGTCAGCATGTGGCAGATTATATGCGCACTCTGGAGGAGGAGGATGAGGAGGCTTTCAAGCGTCAGTTCAGCCGTTACATCAAGTTGGGCATCCGCGCTGACAACGTAAGTGAAATCTATATTTGATATGAGCAGAGC